CTTGAAAATTGATAGTATATGGCATCAACAAAGAACAGTTCCTTGAAATTAGAACTAATCTAAGACGTAATAGCTTCCTTCTCTCGATTTTTTGCTCTAAATTTTTTAAAAAAAAAAGAGTAAAAGTCAATTGTGCTTTGGTGACGTTGCGCGCCACCTCTGCTAACTAGAACCTTAAGCGCGACTCTCGCTAGTTTAAGCTTCTACATCTCTTGTTCTTTTTTTTTATTATTCTGATATAGAATTATTAGCAAAGAGGTTCAATTAATGCAAAGAAAAATCAAACTAAAGAAGTCATTCTGCTGTGCTTAAAACGGTGGCCAAGAAAATTTAATGATTTTTTGCAAAACTGCTTAACTGTTTGGTTTTTGAAAGTTTTCGATTAACATTTTGTAACTGCAGGTGAACTGCAGTCGCGGAAATAGATAAGCGTGTTCAAGCTGAATCAGAAGTTTACTTTTTCGTTTAACTACTTGCGCTCTAGTCATTTATTTCTCATTCTATTAACAGTTTACAAAACACCTTTTTTGCATTACTATTTTTATTTTTCTAACTTTCTTCTTGTTCTTGTTACAAAAAGTATTTTGAGCTAAGTGCAGGTCTTACTTTCTGCTTTTTTGGTACCTAAAAATTTGTCAATCGAATTGAACAAATAATTTGGAATATCTAATAATCTTATCAATATTGTCTTGAAATTATGAAATAGGTTCTTGGTATCGCATATAATACCCTATTTAACGCCACTCTAACGTAGAAAAGTTTTTGAATTTCAAAGCTAAAAGTAGCTGTATCATTTAAACGTTGTACAATGAATTGAGAAAAGTCATTTATGACTGACAAATTAATCAGCAGGTTGGAACCTAAAAACCAGAAGAAAAATACAGTCATTAGTGATTACAATAACTTTTTGTAAGTTCACAGTTTATATATCGTCAAAATTTTTGTAAAACTAACTATATTTTTCAATAAATAACTTTTGGCAGTATTTGAATTAACCAACAGTTGCTGTAGAAGGCGTAAAAAGGGTGCTTTGAATAAATCAATAGTTATTGAGAATTTTTGATGAAGATCTGTATAGAGTCTACATTTATAATAGTCTATAACAAAAGTGTATTTAAAAAAATTAATTCATTTAAACACATGTTTTTGCTGTCATTATCTTATATAAGCCAAAAATACAATTTAAAAAAGCTTCTACTGCAAAGCAGTGTTTCAAAAATGCTGTAAAATGTTGTCTAAATTATTAAAAGACAAAAAAAGACGCTTTTAAAAATACACTTTTTTGTTTCCACGTTGCGAAAGTACGTTTACAGGTAAATATCAAACTTTCAAACAGTTTTAAAAAAGTACTCTTGATTTCAGAAAAGACAAGTCTAAGTTGCAAAAATCAAAAAAATTTGGCTGTTTTAATGCTAGCTTGGAGGAAAAGACTGAAAAATGGAATTCTCAGCATTACATTATGAAACAGTTTTTTACTTTATCTAATTTACTATCTGTTTTTCTTTTTGTTCTTGATTACGAAATGGATAAAAAGAGTGCGCTTCAACTATTTTATAGCAATATACAAATGGGTGGATAAAGACTAACAAATCAAACCTGTTTCTCGTTTAAAAATGAACAAGTTTATGTAGATAAATTGTCTTTAAGTTTGGAGTTTCCTAGAAGTTAAAAAGTCTTTTGCGAACCGCTGGGATAATTTGAAATTCCAGCACTAAAAAATGGTTTTAATTTAAAATAAGAAAGGTCACTTTGATTTCTTCAGCTCAAATTACAAAGAAAGGGTCAGTTGTAAAATGCTACTTAAGTGAGGCAAACTTTTTTTCGCAGTAATTTGAAGCTAAGAAAACAGGAAATCTCTCCTGTACAAAATCTACCTATGAGGTTCAAATTATATAATTAGTTCAGAAAACAATTTTTTTTGCACTTGCTTTAATCTCCTTCTTATTACCTTAAGTCAACTAATAAAAAGCACGTAAATATCAACGTGCAGCTTGTTTACGTCATTAGAAATATTGGAAAATAAATTAAAGCTGATTGATAAATAAAGCCTTACGTAACGAAATGATCAAAAGCGATTAAGTAACTGGACAGACTAACATCAGACTATTTTTTGATTTTAATGGGTAGTGAACACGTCGATTACTATCTGAAAGAAAAATTAAAAAACAAACTTATATGAGAGCTTTCCCAGAAGTTACCCCTCGCTAACAATCAAAAAGAGTTGAAAAGAATCTCAAAAGAAAGTTTTGAAATGTGAACTACAACATGATTTATGACGTAAAACTACTTCGTTGTAGCTTATTTTGTAAAATTGATATTTTAGTAGTCTCACTTTATTGCTTCATTCGACCAGGTTTGAAAATGTTGCTGGTTTTGAGATTTCTGTGCATAAAGAAGCCCTGTTAAACTCATGGTTCTTCTGAAACTAAAATTTTCTACCAAACAAAAATAAAAAACTGTTTTATGTCGTAAAACAGTAAGATTCAAAAGTTCTAATTATTAGCTAAGCTTATGATCTAAAGCAAGTTAATCAAAAAAAATTTTTCTACAGTTGATAAGACCATTTATTTTAAGCATTCTGTGACGTTTAAGTGTTTCTGGCTGAATTGTTAGTCATTATAATCTTAAGCACTTAAATTTTTTCGTCAATAACTGTAAAGCTTTTTTTTTTTTGAAGTTAAGCCATTCTTTAAATTCACAACAGCAACAGTCAGTTGAACAATCAAGCATCACTTTGTCGATTAAAATCTGAAAAATTAGTTCTTTTTAATGTATTATCACTACATTTTCTTTGTTTTTTGCTTCATCTAAAAGTAAATTTGTGTGCAAAAGATTGGTAAAAAATGCAGTTGATAAGAGACAATTTTCACTGCTGAATCTTTTCAAGGCTTTTTATCAGCACGCTTCCATCTATATGGGTAGCTCCTTCAGTATATAAATTATAAACAAGCTTTTATTTTTCAAAACCCTAAGCTGGTCAATATTCGAGGCTTAATTCTAAACAAGAATGAAAATTCTTTTCGTATTCCTCGCTCTCACGCTATTCGCCTTCTCCGGTAAGTGTTACCTTTGGCAAAGTGAAAATAATAAAGAAATTATAGTATTATCATAAATTTCAATACCGCTGATTTTTGACTATGGTAGAATTCCACGATGGTAATCAGAAGTATTGTAAGTTAATTTGTAAAAAATTTTGCTGAAAAAATTAAAAGTAAAAAACTTCTGAAAGCAAAAATAAAACGTTATTCTAATTTTCTACACTCTGAATTATAATACTAGTTTGTTCTCTACCTGAAGCTACATACTTATAGGCTGTGCGCTAGAAGAATGCTATATGGAAAACGTAGATCTTGTTTTTGTTATGGATGAATCAAAAAGTGTCGGTGAACGAGATTTTATGGTAACGGTTCAAACTTGAAAATTTTATGCTAGTGACTAAAAAATCTGTTGAACCCAAAAATATCGCTGCTTATCTTTGTCACTGTCACACCTTTTAGCAGGTTGATAAATTTAGACTGGGCTAAACGCTGCAGCTGACCTGGCTACATCTCTCAACATTGGAGCCAAAGTTAATGTACGTCAATACTTTACCTAGAAAGCTAATCATGAAGACACGTTTTTTAAACGACAAATTTTGGGCTTCAAAGTTTTTAAAAACTTCTTTGTAGTATTCTTTTTTGATACTTTCTACTAATTTATAAAGTTGCTGAAACTGGAGCAGTTTTAAGTCTTCGCGATTTTTAGAGCAGTCGTGTAGGGTTTGTATTATTTGGAAACAACGCAAGACTTGGGTTCTCACTTACACAGTACAATTCTGTGTCAGAAGTTGAAAATGCTATAAAAAATCTAAATTACGAATCGGGAGGAACCAACATCGCCGGTGGAATGGATTTTGCGATTCGGCAGGTAAGATTTTAACTGTTTACTTTTAGCTTACTTTATCTCATTTAATCTATAAAACAGCAGATTTAGAGTTGCAAGCTCAATTAAGTAAAAAGCGAAGAGAATTCAGACTCGTTCAAACTTTGGTACTCTTACTTTAACATTCAGCAATACTCTTCTGCAGTGTTGCCTCTTTAGCAGTCAGTCGTTTTTTCAATAACAGCATTATTGTTTTTAGGTGTTTGTGCCGGCCGAACGTAAAGGTGTACTAAAAATTATGATTTTGATCACAGACGGTGAAGACTCAACAAAC